TGTCTCTCAGGGGAGGCTTCTTGCTACTTGACACTCTGTCATCAGGCTGAGTTTGCAGTGTGGTAGAAAACATGCACCCCAGTTCCTGAGCCCTCCCTAAACCAGTGTGATGCCTGTGGCCTGCTCCCAGGACAAGCTACTGCAGTTGGATTCAGCAGCCCTCTGAACAATGAGCCTTTGGGACATGCCAAATCCCCATGGTGCCACCACTATTGCTAGAAGAAGTTTAGCTGTAGGAAAATGTAGGATTGTTTCCCTGATGAAATACTGGTGGATATATTTCTGTAAAAGACTTCAGTGTGATATTTTGTATAGGATTGCCTAGTTGTCACTGCTGTACAGAATTCGACCTTAGGTGTCTCCTCAACTTCACAGAGACAGAGAATGGTTTGGGTTGGAAGGGACCTTAAAGATCACGTGCTTCTAATGCCCCTGTCGTAGGCAGGAGCACCTTTCACTAAACCAGGGTGCTCAGGGCACCATCCAACCTGGCCTTGAACACTTCCGGGGATGGAGCATCTCTGACTTCTCTGGGCAGCCTGTTCCAGTGCCTCACCACCCTCACAGTGGTGAGGGGGATGCAAAGAATTGTTTTCTAGTATCAAATCTAAAGCTACGCTCTTTCAGTTTGAAGAGATTCCCCCTTGTCCTGTCACTACTTGTGGCTCATCCTGTCACTACCAAATTCCACATGGAAGGGAAAGACTTAGCCTGGTCAGTATTCCCCAAAGTATTTTCTCTGTTGTTGGCTAACTAGGAGATGTAAATGCATTTATCTGGACCCTCAATTTCATCTTTCCATGCCATTCAGTAATATTGTTGTACACAGTCCTGTAAAAATGCAGATTTATTGTTGATCGGCTCTAACTCACCTTAGAGAGAAGTTCTTTAAATTGTGGTCTGCTCTCTGAAGCCACTTCTCCTGCCGTGTTCGTATATTTTGCATTCACAGTGGTGTAATTAAATTGCAAAGCACATGAAATAAGTATTTTCTCTCTAACTCAAAATTACTTTTTCCACATCCTTTACCTTGACTCTTAATTCAAATAATCTGTTCTGGTGTGTGTTGTCCTTCATAAGCTATCTTTTTAAAGAAACAACCATTATACAAGCTTCCCATTTCTGACTTGGTTTTAGAGGCTAAATGTGATATGCATATGTAACTCAAAAAGGTTTTAGGAATGGAAATGTTTGAACCTTTCAATTTTTTTCATGCCTGTCTTCCTCCACCACTCTCAAACACATACACAGATTTACTTGTCAAGGTACCCTGCTACATGATAGTATCATTTATTTTTGTAAGGTGACTGAGAAGGCTCAGTTGAGACAGATCTGATGGCAGCCAATTTTGCTCTACCCAACGATGTGCAGAGGGAAGTTTTTCCGACATCTGGCAAAAATGTCTGAGGCTGATCTTCATTTACAGCAGGAATGGGTTTAGAATAATAAGCCAAGCTCCACTCAGCTCCAGGAAAGGTAGCCTGAGCCAACCTTTTATTAGCCACCTTCTATGTCATGCTGCATGCCTTTGGGCTGAGCATCTTGACAATATATCTATTTTTTGTGTAGTTTAAATGCTACAGTCCTTTTATTTCACAATGTGTGGGGAGGTGGGCATTACTAAAAGTAAAATTTGGTGAAGTATTGAAGTGAGATTACAAGCAAGAAGGAGCATTGAGGGGGGATGCAAATATAAGGATTTCAGCCAGGCAGCCACGGCTTCGTTGTCATTTTAACAGTAGGTGCTCTTTCACCCCTCTACCTTGTGGCCTTATTTCCAACAGGAAAAGAGGAGAGAGAAAGAGACAGCAGTAAAATCCAGAGAAACACCACAAATCCATAGCAGTTGTTTTTATTGCTGTAATGGAGGATATTGTTAAAAGCATTAAATAACATAATGAAGAGTTGTGGGTGCAGAGGGTTTTTTTAATTTTGCTTTGATGTAAACAACTTGCTGTACATTCAGAAAAATCTGCATGCTTGTAGATACTTAAATAAAAAGTCTTATTATTGTTTATCTAGATCAGCCTCATTTCTTTTTTGTGGCTAAATAATGCTTCCAGTGTATTAATCTACTCACAATAGCTGCTTGGATACTTTCCTATTTAGCTTTTTCTAGATGACTTGAGATGTTTAAAGAATGTGCTCTTTTTTTACCTTCATTGCAGCTGAATAAAAGTGGTGTTTACATCAAAGACTGTCAGGAAAATGTGTACTGCTTTTTTGGATCAACGCCTAGCAAAGTTAATGGAAATTAGCTACAGCAAAATCCGGAAAAGGTTCAGTGTTTGTCTAAACTGTTTCTGTCTTAAACTGCTCCTTTATACCTTATAAATGGCTAAAGGCTTTTATGGTCTATACTACAGTTAACTTGCATTGTTTAACATGCAGCACCTTTGTTGAGGGTGGTGTATTATATGTGACAGTTTAATTTATTTTTTTAGTAACTCCATTAAAAAAAAAGTAGAACCTTTTTAGCTATTCATATTGTTTTAGTCATACTGCTTTGGGTTGTAAAACAGGCAGACTTTGCAAACTTACTGAGTCTGATCAGTACATTGATGGAAAATGCAGTTCAGCACCTCCTGTCTGATGGGTTGTCCATCTCTATCTACAGCTTGAGCAGAAGATTTTTTACCCTTTCTTAATTCAAACTGTTTTCCCTTAGTGTTGACAAATAAGCTTGACAGACAGAGGGAGAGTGAAAGACGATGCTTTTTTTGAGCTGCAGGTTAGTCAGACTTAGACAGTGTAGAAGCGGGTAAGTTTGGTGACTCAACAAAAAAGTTCAAGCTAGTGTGATCATAGCTTCTTCTTATTAAAACCTGGTTGTTAACATGGATGATTTTGAACATTTTTCTCTCTGTGCACACACACATTCTGAAATGGCTTACATTTTTCATGTGTGCGACCATACATTCAATCTGTACATTTCAGGAAGAGAAAAACTGAAGATGTCCTCTGTGTGTGTGCAATCAGAAGGAGAATGTATTGGAAGTCCTTGGGCAGCTTTGGGGATGCAAAGTACTAGAAAGGGAAAAAGTTATTTCACTAACTGTCTATGTCAGTGAATATTTATACAATTATATTATATTCTCTACTTTTCTCCTATCATGCCCTAGTTTTCATGCAAAATTTTCAGAGAAAAATCTCAGTCTCTGTTTTCATACATGACTGTTTTTCACAGTATTGTATGGAAGATTGACTTGCTGTATTGTACATACAACCTGATGCAGAGCTTTCCTTAAACCTTGTTTATCCCCATTTTTGTGCTGACTCAAACTGACTCACACTAGACAGAGCTCTGACTGGGGCTAACATTCAATTTAGCAGAGATTTACTTTGCAGTAATATGTTGAAATTGTATTTTTATCCCTGTAACTGTAATTTATTTGAAGATTTGTCACTAGCAGTAGAAACATTTGTTTTGATGTTTACAGAACTAGCAATTTAATTTTCTAGATCTGTATTTTTAGGCCTGTTTTGAGCATGTGTTTCTGTTATTTCAGGTATCTGAGCATGAATTCTGGTCTGGCTGTAGCTATTAAAGATTAATTACTGCTTTTTTTTTTTTCCTGATGCTGCAGTCACAAGACTTTGTTTTCTGCAACGTCACCATTTGTGACGTGGAGGCTGAGCAGCCCCTGAGACCTTCCTTACTTTCCGTGCCCTGGCAAATACTCATCACTTCACACAAAGCATTCAGTCTTTTGTAGATTCAAGCACTATGTACAGAGGCTTTCAGCCCAGGGCCGTGATGAACAAGGTGTTTTTCCTTGTGCAGTAATGAGACAATATTTCCTTGTGAAGTGCTGTAATGGTCTTTAAAATTTCTTCTAGCAGCTGAATATTGGAGGTACCTAAAACTCTCATCCTTCTTTTACCATCTTCCTGCAGTCTCTATACTGCACTCACACCTCAGGTGATAATGCCAAATACAGATTTAAAAAAATGTAAACTAGTGTATAGTTGAGAGAGACCTACTTCATTTGTATCATTAGAACAACAGTACCAAAACCTTTACAATGGATAATTACACTTCTTGAACATGAGCAGTAATATTTGCACTGACAAAAAAATTTGGGATTGTGTCTATATGAATTTTTTTTATATATTTTTTCTATATCTATTTAAGAGTCATTGCTATAACCAGTTCTGATTTGACTCCAGAATTTTTCAGTGATGTCTTATTAATCAATTAAGGATTTATGACTTCTGAAGTTGTTTGATGTTGTGTACTGAAGTGCTTTATTCCATGTTGGAAACTATTGGATAGTATTACCCCTAGAATCATGTTACTGTTTGCATCCTCAGTAAAAATGCATCAAGGAGAATATTTAATAAGAAAATAATTAAGATATTAAGTGTATAGAAATGTGACCAGTTCGGGGCTCCCCACTAAAGAGACATGGGCATACTGGAGAGAGTCCAGCCAAGAGAATGAAACCTCTGCTGGTAAGAGGAAAGTGGAAAGAGCTGGGACTGTTCAGCAGGGAGAAGAGTCGGGAATCTTATCCATGTGTATAAAATACCTAATTGTGGGGGAGAAGAAATCAAAGGCAGACCCTTCTCAGTGGTGTTTAGTGACAGGACAAAAGGCAGTGGGCTTTAGACTGAAATGCAAGAAATCTTTTTTAGCTGTGAGGGGGTTGGCCCAGTGAGGTTGTGCAGTCTTCATCATTGGAGATATTCAAAACCCAACCAGACACAATTCTGAGTAGCCTGCTCCAGCTGACCCTGCTTTGATGTCCTTTCTAGGTAATCTCCAGAGGTCCCTTCCAACCACAACTATGATTCAAGACCACTTTTTATCATAAAGTCGTACTCAAACTTAAATGTCAGTGGTGAGAAGTTGTGTTAGATATTTTAAAATCTGTTCCATAAGGGTTTGAACTTCTGTATAGAAGTTGTTTGTCATAACGGCGATGTCTTTTTCTAAGGTTGCTTGAAAATTTGCAGGGATTGTTAACTTCATCTGCACCTTTTGTTTTACCTCTCAGGAACGTTTCTTCTCGCCAAGAATTCGTCGTCGACTTCATGCTGTCCTAGCATCTGTTAGCACTTCAATGTTGATTTTATCAAATCTAATATTTCTTGGAGGAAATCAAGTTGGAAAAATCTACTGGAACAGGATCTTTATGGAAGGCAAGTTTATTTTTATGGGCTTTCTAGATAATAGAACTTTCCAAATATTACCTTGGGTGGGCTGAGCCAGGTTCTTCTCTCAGTGCACTAACTGGGAGTAACTTTTTTTCTGGTCCTGTTCAAAACAATCAAAAATCTGTCTGACAAAACCTAAGTAACTAAGCAGGCTGCATGACTACAAAGATACATTGCCTTTCTCCCATCAAGTCTACAAAGAAAGTTATTAGGCTTCTCTGTCAGTGAAATCACTAAAGATTAAATAATAAATGTGTGACAAGTTAGCAAGGTTGGATTTTTTTTCCCCCATTCTGCATTTCATGTACATCAGTAAGAACAGGCATACTAAAGCCAACCCCATAGATTCTGTGGAAGGTTAGTGGATGAGATCTGCATGATACAGCTTAATTGAGCCATTAATTGGGGTTTTTTGTAGTGAATCTGATGTCAGGATAGGGACCTGCTGACTATTGAGGACAAGTTTGAGGACAGGGGAGCTTGGGTGACAGTATCAGCCTGTGGTGTTGCTCAGTAAGCAGTTAGTGACACTGTGCTGTGAGCTGACACAGGAGACAAATTGAGCTTTAATTTTTTTCTCAGAGCTCAGTGTAAGTAGGACCAGTTTTCTTTTTAGTGTTATTCCTGCCAGAGGCCCATATTGTCAAATAAGGATCTCATGGAGGAATATTTCTTCCTCATGAGGGAAGTACTAATAGGCTTCTGTGCCTAGAAGATTTCTCCTACAAAGACCACACTGTCTATTACTCCTTTGTGAAGTGTTTTCTCCTCTTGATCCTTGCAATGTCTTAGAAGTCAGTTCTGGAGATCCAAGGTCCTACTTAAGCATACCAAAACAATGAAACTCTTAAAGAGTAAGTTATGTACATGACTGAAACGATTTATCTTCTGTACTAAAGCGAAAAAACATTCAAACAGCTCAAAGAAAGGTACATTTTTAGCATAAAATATAGTGACGCTTTTTGGTAGTACTGAGCAGGAAAGACTGAGTGAAGTATTAGTTCATGTTTAGTTTTTGCTCTTAAAGCATAAAATATTCGTTTTCTGTTTTCTTAAAAGGCTTTATTTTCTTTTAAATTGTTTCCTTTCAGTTAATTGGCTAATAGTTTCAGTGGAAAAATTAGCTGAGAGAAAAAATTTGGAAATAAAGTTAGACATCACTTCTTACCTATTAAAAAAAAAGGGCACTAGTGAAGTTGTCCATTTCAGGTTTATAGCTTCATACAAATTTTTTTCATAATGGTATTTGTATATTATAAATAAAGAAGTATGCCTTCCTCTTCGGAAGGGTTAGCAGTTCACAGAATGCTGGGGTTTGAAACTGATGAATGACAATTTTTTATTAAGTAGAATGGTATTTAATTAAACCAGATCAATTATTGATTGTTTTTCTACATTTGGTTTGCTGGTGGATTTTTTTAATAGTTTTTTGATCTATTGCTCTTGCGCTAAATACATAGTTACTTCAGGATTAGGTACCAGGCATCTAAGACAGGAATAGGAAATTAATTTAGTCATTTGCATCTTTGTTTCCATGATCTGTTAATCAAATTAACTTTATTTTTAGAACATGAACGCTTTTGCTTAGTGCAGCTCATACTCTACTTGTAGAAATTTCCAGTGTTTAGCTTTATATACCTGTGTTCTTAGATCACTCAGATTACTGTGACCATATTCTTTAGCTGCACTGTTGTTCTGACAATTCAGGTGTACAAACTGAAACATATACTAAGATTTTATTCCATCTGCACCCGTGCTCCATTGTCATTCCATTGTGGTTTTCATACTATGGAACAAATGGGGCAGCCTCTAGTATCAATACAGACTGGGGGATGAACAGATTGAAAGCAGTCCTGCCAAGAAGAACTTGTGTGTGCTGGTGGATGAGAGGCTGGACATGACCGAGCAACGTTCACTTGCAGCCCAGAAAGCCAGTCGTGGCTGCATCAAAAGTAGCATGGCCAGCAGGGTGAGGAAGGGGATGCTGCCCCTCTGTTCTGCTCTGGTGAGACTCCACCTGGAGCACTGCATCCAGCTCTGGGGTCCCCAGCACAAGAAGAAAGGACATTGACCTGTTGGAGCGAATCCAGAGGAGGCCACCAAGATGATTAGAGGGATGGAGCACCTCTCCTATGATGAAAGGCTGGGAGAATTGGGATTGTTCAGCCTGGAAAAGAGAAGGCTTCAGGGTGACCTAATTGCGACCTTCCAGTCCCTGAAGGGAAACTACAAGACAGGTGGACAAGAACTTTTTAGAAGAGCATGTAGTGACAGCACAAGGGAGAATGGTTTTAAACTGAGAATAGATTTAGATTAGATAATAGGAAAAAATTCTTTACCGTGAGCGTGGTGAGACACTGCCCAGAGAAGTTGTTGATGTCCCACCCCTGGAACACTCAAGGGCAGGTTGGACGGGGCTTTGAGCAACCTAGTCTAGTGAAAGGTGTCCCTGCCCATGCAGGGGCATTGGAACTGGATGATCTTTAAGGTCCCTTCCAACTTAAGCTGTTATATAATTCCATAATTCTGTGATTGAAGGCTGGTCAAATCCAGAAGGCCTATTCAGAACTGAAGTCTTCAATTTCTAGTAAATTTAAGTGTTGGTCTGTAGGAGATATAACAAAAATCTACATTTGGAGTGTAGAACGCTAAAAAATAAAGTTCTGGAAACCTAAGCAGAGTTTTGCAACACTCTAAAACCAGAGAGTAGACATTTGCATTTGGAGGACATCTCTACATTCTCAGCAACCCAAGCAGCAGGATTTGAGATTGGTTGATGGAGGTGGAAGAAGGCTCTGTACTAATAGTGTGACATAAAATCCCTCTGAGGTAAGGAATAGAGATGAAGTAAGAAATAGGGAGCTGTGGAAACAAAGCTGACTGCTTGCACATCAGCTGCAAAGAATAGTCAGTTTGTTTCCTTTGTCCAAATCCCACAGAATTATGTCTACAAAGATTTGTATGGATAGGAAGAAAATAGAAGATGTCCATTTCATGGTTTGTAAATGTAACTGGCATTTGTAGATCACTAACAAACTTGATCAAGAACATATATGCTAAATGCCAGCAATAAAATGCATCTCAGAGCAGAACTCAGATCTGCAGGTTTAGGTGCAGCATTAGGTGTTGTGCGTGGCATTTTCAGGTCTGGCAAGTAAATGATCCTCAGAATATCGGTGTTTTAAAGCCCTAAATGCTCAGCGTATAGCACTTTGTAGTCAGAAATTAGAAGTTCTGTTGTATAATATCTAAAAACAGTGCTTGAAGAGTAGCTTCCCATTAGCATGTTGTGTGACAGTGACACAAATTTAAAACGACAAACTCTTAAAAGGAAGATGTACTTGTGCTTAAGATGTGTGAAATGCACTTCTAGTTTTGCTCTTTGGTTACTTAAGAGGGTCTACTGTGTTCTTTTGCAAAGACTGAGTATTATAAAATATCTATACAGTTGTCTGAAAGTGGGGAGGAGAAAACATGGATATGAAAGCAGTTAAACCCCAGAGCCAACACAGTGCAAGGAGAACCATGCAAGTGAGGTACCTTTATTATCAAAGCTTTGTGGATTGCTTTCTAGGAAAAGGATTTAGATGAGGTTTCCCAGAATTTCTTGACTGATATTTGAACTGTTTTGCAGTGCTTTGGCAGTACTTTCCACAGGTCCTGTACCACTAACAAGGGAATTTGCTATCTGAGCATGTCAGGTAGCAGTATTTTTAGCATTTATTTTCTTTCCTCTTGTGAAAAATAGATTGAATTTATCTGGCTTTAAAATTAGTTTCTGTGCATCATTAAAATTGCTATTGCCAAAATTACTAGAGGAGAGGTCTGTGTGTCTCATATGGATGAGTATTTGTTCTTAATTTTGTTCTCAAACTGTTCAGACCAGCCTTAGTGCTTGTTTCTAACACCCAACTTGTCCCAGTAAGTTATTAGCAAGGAAAAAAGTTCCTACAACAAGCGTTTGCTTTGACCTTTCCTTAGTAAGATTTTTCTCATGGGAGACAGTGTCATTCTAATAAGAAAATAGCAGAAATGTCTTCTAAACAACAAACCATTTTTAATCCTCTATTCAGAGTAATTGATTGATGCTTCACCTCAAAATAAGAAACTCCAGTGAGAGAGGTTCTCTTTGAAAAGGCTCACTGCTGCAACTGGCACTGTGCAGTAATTTTGTTTAAGAGAATTAGTCTAGCAAGGATGGACAAAGGCATTAAGCTGGGACAGGACAGAAGTATATCAGGTGGTAAAACTATAAAATTCTTCCTGATCTTACTCTGGCATATGAGGAACAGAGTTCAGATCAATGAGGAAAGCACACAGTGCATGTCAGATGTATTTTACTTTGAATAGCTGTCTGAAAATTGCACAGCCATCATTTAACTGTAAACCAGTACTTTAACTATCCAATTTACCTTACTAAATTGTGACAAGTGCCTCTCTTGAGGGCAGTTCATCCCACGTCTTAGCATGGGATGAAATGCATTGTCACTCTTCACTATGTTCAGAGGCATTTTGTATAGCCTGGTTTAGATTAGATTGGACACCCAATATTTGAGGAGGTGTCCTTTAGCAGACATCTAGGAAAGAGTGATTTTTCACTCTTGGTTAGAAATGATTTACTGCAGGAGTACAGAGCAGCTGGCTCGGCAGAAGTCCTGCAATGAGGTATATCTGACTGTTCTACCAGATTGCAAACTTTGTGCATCAACAGCATCATACCACTTACAACAAAAATAGACCTTATGCAAAAATGCATTGACAGCAGTGCAAAAGACATAAATTAACCTCTTCATTATGTTCTGAAGGTTAAAGTTAAAATATGTCCACTTTTGGTTGCTGCAGTGTAAAAAAAATTAATAAGCTGACAGGGAGAAGGAAATGCAGCAACATGATTGGAAGTCTAGGAGCCATGACCCTGAAATAAACAGCATTGTTTTGTTTTGAGAGAAAATTATTGAGGAGATAAATAGATACCTAGAAGTTTC